GGTTCAGTCTCCTCAAGGAAGAGCAGAGACGCCCTTTGCCTTCCTCTCTTCAGCTTCTCCAGGTGCCAAACACTTGCCTCACCAAAATATCACAGACAGTTCCAGTGGTTTTCCTACCTCTGCTTGAAAGAACATGGAATAGTTCATTTTCTTGGTTTCCTGCTAAAAAGAGCCTTTTATCAAGACGAGAACTTGCCTGGAGAATTTTCCAGTTCCGTTTCCCTGCCTCTTTATTGGTGCATTATCACGAAACAGCACCATGACCTGCTTCACCAACATAGCCTTTAGTAGCGCCGGACTGGAAGCGCTCTCTGGGTCAGACGACATCCTGCATCGGCCTCGTGCAACAGACCTCGAGCGGACTCACCAGAGGCAGCCAGTGCAGCCACCCCGTTCTCACATGCGTGTCCTAGGAGAAGCTCTCTGACTAACAGATGTTTATAAACGCTCTTTCGCATGGGAAAATTCGGGAAGTACATATTTTTATTGCACCCTTGCTATTTCATCTAGCCACATGGATCTCCAGGGATGGAGACGTACTTAAGAAAAATATTCACTTCTTAAAAGCTTCTACAGTTTTTTTTCCACAATGATTTCTTGGCTTAGTCAACCTGGTGACGCTCACTTGTATTTCTGTTCTGCGGCAAGTAGTAAGATTTGCTAATTACACTGCTCTGCATTTAAAGACAATTGATTTCCCTTTGTGGCAGAAAACAATTTCCTGTTACATCAGTTCTCTTAATCTTCATCAGAAACAAACCCAGGCTGCCATTGCCAGTAACGTGTCATACTCCTTTATTAAATCACTCTCTTTTCTCCTCCAGTTACCTGTCCTGTGTTTATTATTCCTGATCACTGCACTGGATCACCTACAGCTGTTATAACCACATGTATTTTGCTTCACAGACCACTAGCACCAAGCTACTGGAGAGAACTCTCCTCACTCAGCAGCTCAGTGTGTCTCTTCTGGCAGCAGAAGCTGAGAGCACTGGGAGAACCTCAGGCCTTCTCTGCTGGATTTTGGCACACATGGAAAATGTACAAAGGCGCACATTTCTGTTCATGTAAACATGTACGTTCTGCTTAGTGTTATACTGAAGACAAGCAGGCTTGTCAAATAAGAGCACTTCTCACATCTCAAATGTCCCACGCTGAGCGACACAAATGCCAGCAGAAAGAACATGAATGTCCAATGCATCGTATGTCATCTTTCCCTTTGCTGAGCGAGTGATTCAGCAGCCTAAAACAGCAAGCACATTGGTGTGGTGCAGGCAGACGGGCACACGCGGAGATGTCCTGGATATTCAACATTGGGGGGTGTTTTCGATGAGATCAAAATCTCTCACAGGTTTGGATCATGTTCACCTGACAAAATAGCCAAGCAGCAACTCGACACTGAATTTCCAGTCTCTCAGAGCCAACACAAAGGCTGGCAGATAGACCAAAAGCCATTGCAGGCTTCTCTCTGCAACATCGCTCCATCCAACAAAAAAACACTCATTCACAGACATGCAGAACTTATAAACCCAGGAAAACCCTCTGACTACGCACAAAAACTGGAGCTAACTTGACGTGGAAGATGCTGTTTTGCAGCTCTCAAAGGCTAAAACCAGACCTAAGCTTATCCAACGTAAGGCTTGCTGGAGTGAGAGAAGCGCCACAAGACACTGAAGCTGTGTGTGACTCATGACTGCCCAGGACAGATGGGTTAGCGAACTGCAGATGGCTTTGTAGTACCAGAAAGTCACTTTATTCAGGAAAGGGATTAAAAACCCCCCAAACAACCAATCCACCTTTGATCTGCATGTCAGACAAGATCTCTTTTATCATCTGGGCTGCAGATGAGAGCTCTGATCCAATCCCATCCTGCACAGGTATAATGCTCCAGTTCAGTTCTCTTCCTCCTACAGCCAGGACATGCTAAAAAGTGCTTCTGATTTACTGTGCTCCTCTTCATGCTGCTTATTTGACATATAAACCCTATTTCCACGTAAAAAAACCCAAAACACAGCTGTAGCTCCAGCCGTATTTTTTTTTGGAGTCAACAGCAGACACTACCTGGTCTGACAGAAACCAGTGGATGAACAGGTGTATTCACCACCTGGGTGCTGGTGATAGACCTGGCTTCATATTCAACACTTCTCTGATCCAAGTATCAGCTCAGATCATACCAGGAGGGGACTGAAGCAGTTAAGAGTCAGAAAAAGTATCCAGCAAAACAAGTATATGTACTTTTCCAAGTGGGTAAATAGACATATATAAAGCTAATTGCCTCTCTGTAAACTGCAACAAGAATTGCAAAACTAGAAAAAAAACCCAAAAATGACAATTTCTCCCCTGTACTCATTTATAACGAAGCTTTTTAAGAAAAATTTTATATACTGCAAACCTCCCTAAGAAGGAACAACCAGGCAAGTGCTAATTAACAGTCTTTCTAATTCACACTGATCATAAAAAATTTAGAGGAGAGAAATAAAGAGGAAACAAAGAGGAGAGACCATATGATCTGCATTATCTGCGGTATTTCTCCCTCCAAAAGAAACCTGCAGGCTTTTACAACATCAGGTCTGAAAAAATCATCGCAGACCAGACGACAGTTCCGTCATCCAGTGTCATGGAGAGAGCACACAGATTTTACTTTGCACCAAATCTCCATGTTTGGATTCTGGTGGAATCTTAACCAATTTTTACTTTCCCAGATCAATGTTCGAAGGGTAGGTGTTCTGGATATTCAGCTGCATGAATGATTCTGGTATAGAAAGTGCACCAGTAATTTTTTTTAAACCTTGTATTACTAAAAATAGAAACACAACACAGATCGGAGCAGTGCTGTGACAAGTCTTCTAGTACCTTGAGTGAAAGGATGCAGCAAATGCCTCTTCTGCATCATGGATCTGTTTCTTGGAGTACTTTGCCCTGGGTCTATCTCACAGAGTTTAGCAAATCTCCCACAGCTTCTCTGGCTCATCACTTCCCAGCACAGCCCAGACCAGCGAGTCACAGTTGGCCCAAGACAAATGGCAACTGCCCCTCACAGCAGGGCAACCTCATGAGAAATGGCAAGCAGCTCTTGGGACAACTGCCCAGCTCCCCAGCTGGCACCTCAGCCACCTTTCAAACCCGCACCTACCCAGGCACTGGGTTCCGTTGGACTTTCTGAACATCTCTCTCACTTTTTCATGACCTTTTCTGCATCTTCCAAACCACGTCGAACTTCAACTTACTGCAAACATGAGGGTGTGACTTCTGAGCGGATGTTTTTCATGCAATTGCTGCTCCCCACCTTTCCTTTTCTTAGCAGTCCATTCCTTATTTTGATTTTTGCCTGACTCGCCAAGTGACATCGACAATTCACATCCTCCAGTCAGAGCAAATAGCAAATAGCTCGGCAGCGCTAATAGCAATAAACGTGGTGGGCTCTGCTGCCCTGGAATGACTACAGCCTTTGTCTGAAGGTATCGTAGGGCTGCTGGGCTTACAATATCTTTCTTCATCCCTGTAAATTCAAGAAGTTTTTTATTTACACTAAATGAGTTACCTTTCCCCCAAAGAAAAACTCTTAAAATAGCTCCATAGGGTGCGTTAAACTTTTATACAAAAAAAAACAAAAAAGCAGGGCTGTGCTGTGCTACAGATTTTGTTAAAGGATCTCTTTCACAGTCCTTTTAGGGGCTTCTGAACAGGAGTTCTATGAATTTATAACAACATATATGTCAGGCAGACACTGGAATTCAAATTATTTTAACTCCAACTGAAGGCCTGTGTTTGAAATGTCTGAAAGCACTCCTTTGTGGCTGAGATTTCTGGAGTCTTAAAACTGCAAAGACCGCATCTTCATTGTAAATATTCTATTTCTTAGCCATTCTTGTGTCAAAGGACTGCTGGAGAGAAAGTCTGCACCAGTGTGGTCCAGGAGGAAGCAGAGATCAGAAGAGTTTTGTTGCAGAAGCAGGGATGTGTAAAGCCTGGCACATCTGTTATGTAGCTGGATCTTTGGTACCAAAAAATGCATAAACCAAAATGAACATCAGTATCGCTTAGCTAGAACTCGTGCTGCAGTGTAATATCTGACTTGCTCCTAGCTGCTTAGGATCTATTGGATTTATTTACTATTCCGTGGGAGGTTTTTGTTGGTTTCCTTTTAATCTGATAGAGAAGCTGGACAACTGCTGGGCTGACGCAGAGCTGTGCTTTTGCCTGGCGGATTGTTATTGCTGGTTTCTGAACTGCCAGAATGGTTCCTAAATGGTTGCCTCTTAGTTTAGCAGCTGTTAAAAACAGTCTTAGACAATGAACCCTGTAATTGTCTCTTTGGAAATCCCTTCTCAAGCATTTGCTAGATATAATAAACATTTCCATGTGGATATAACAGCAATGGAGTGTCCAAATAAAGCGTTGGAAAGGAGGCACAAGAACAGCTTTGTGTTTTATGGAAGTCCAACCAATTTTCAGAAACTAACTACTCTTTCCACTTAATGAGTCCCTCAAAAAAACCCCAGAAAATTTCTATTCAAGTTTTACTGTCTAGGCACTATGAGAAGCAGAAGCAGAGGCACTGTCTGCCTGCCTCACTGTTGCATTTCTAACAGCCGACTCATTCCTCGCTTGAATCTCCCAAAAGTCTGCGACAGCTCATGCGTAGGAAGGAACTTCCATCCTATTCTGCACAGAAATCTGACCTCTTCCTTGGCTCTGAAAGCCAACTTTCCAACAGGTATATTCCTTGAAGCTGATGATAAAACCCACATTGAAATGAAGATTTAGCAGCAACCTGATTTAAGTAACATTCAAATTGGTTTAGTCTCAAAAAGACTTTCCCAACCCAGCCGAGCCTTTGCTATTCTTGCACCAGGAAGTTGATAAGGGCAGCTCTGGGAGACAGAAAAGCCTTTTTGATGGTTCGTCCCTGCAGATGCTTGACTCCAAGTTCACTTTGAAGAACCAGCTCGTGGACCTCTTCAAAATTGCGGGCTGCTCGCTGAGGCACAGAAACTTTGCCGCAAGCTTTGTTATTGATCTGAAAAAGAGAGACATAACAAAAACCAAAAAACAAACAGAAGTTATTGGACCAATTTATACAATCTCATATCCTGAATCCAATCCATTCAATATGCAAGGACGATGGGAAAGTGGATCTAACTCTCTTTTCTCCATCACCAAACTTTCTGCATAGAGGACAAAATTCCCCATGCCTCCTGTCCCTTTACCACAAAACAAGAGAATGAAACTCTGACTCACAATACTCAAAGAAAATTGAAGAAGTGGCCATAGGAAGTCTTAGTTTTGAAGACAACATGCAGCACATGACTATGCAATGTGGCAACATTTTAAGTTTAAAATTTAAAACTGTGATAGCTACACAAGCTGAGTAACCCGAGTAAATATGGCTTGTCAGGTGTGAATCTTGGTTTGTACGTACTTCTGAGCTGCAATTTGGGTTCTTTAGAGCTAAATGACTCCTTACAGATATTCTAAATCAGATTTATTAAAATAAAAATATTTGTGGCCCAAAAAGATACCTGAAAGATTCATCATCAGTGCCCATTTTCAGAGAAAGGGCCATTAACTCGTACACTGCATTCGTACCAAGCGCGTGACTCATTGGACCAACACCAACCACAAAGATGACATCCAAGGTAATGTGGTTCGTTTCCACACTGGTTTTGCACCAGCAGGGCAAAATCATGGAAGTTAAACTGAGTAAGGCCTTCAGTGGGAACCACCTTAATCTATAAAATGGTCTCAATAGATCCTTTCTGTCATCTGGTCAGAATTAGTAACAGACAGAGACCACAGAGTCTTACTGAGTATCTCTGGAATTGGCATAAAATCTGTTATTACAAAAGCTTTCAGGTTTATATGCGGTACTTTCAGTGGATTAATGAAAAGAATACGGATCTCATGTTTTAAAAATTACTAATTATTTAATTTGCTAATTCAGCTCAATCAAATTACTTGCATAAAAAGCTGCTGCAGTTACTGCAGATCTTCGACCTGTAGACATCACTGTAACAAGTTCTACATCACCTGAAGTGGACGTATTTTGCTTCACACAGCTTGGACATTAGAACATACACAGTTTGGTTCTCATCTGGGTTTTATCCAGGATACGTGTACACAACATAGCACAAGCTAGAACTACTTCACTTATCTTGTTTGTATTTTACTGAAAATAATCTGTGCAAATTTCTGAGAGAGGAAGTTAGGACAGATTTTTTAAGGAAAAAGATGAAGTCTCAAATGCAGCTGGGTTGAATAATTTCTGGGTTTTGACTCAACCTGACATTAATTCCCAGTAATATTGTAGGCAGGCTTTTAACTATTCCTCGTTTATCTGAAAAAACATGGCAAATGGCAAGGGGAGAAATAAATGAGGCTGGGTCTTCTCTACCCCTGACAGAGGAAGATGTTGCTTTTTTTCAAAATTATTTTTATTTTCTTAAATGGACATTTAAGACTCTTCTGGATCCGGAGGAAGCTAGAGGAAACTGCAGAAGTTATGAAGGATGAAATGAAATCACAAAAGACTGAAAAATAAGCACCTGGAGGTTGCAGAGAGGAACACTGTTTTTTTTTTTTTAACCATTGATGCATAATCCTTCTGAGAACTAAAAAGGAAAATATACGTGCACTTTTAAGCCTTTCTCATATGTCAAAGAGAGAAAAGTTACACAAACTTTTTCTTTTTTTTTTTATTTTATAAGACTACAGCTGCTAATGGTTCTGCACCACCTAGAAAATGTGAGGAATGCTAGTCAGAAGTGTGTGCACAGGATGAAACACACACTCTGTTCAGGTCAGATTTTTCACAGCATTAACCATATCCGTTACAATTAAAAATATTCAACTTTCCAATAACACTTAAGACTAATGAAACTCCTATCTAGTGAATTTAAATCTCTGTCTTGCAGGCAATCTGCATTTTATGAGTCACGTACACAGCGAGCTGGTTGCCTTCGCTGCTTTAGGTTAAATACAGCAAGACCTAACTCCAACATGGAGAAGAAATAAAGACGTATTTTGTATGAAGAGAAATAAAACCCTAAGAGCTCAGCTGGAAAAATCCTGGCAGACTGAGGCAGTTCAACGTCTTGAGAAGAACTGGGTTGTGGCCCAGAGGCTGGGCATCCCCCCAGAGATATCCCTCCCTGCACCGAGTGGTTCTTGGGTTTATGAGGGCAATTTAGTTCTACAGCTGCACAAAACCCTACAGTGTCCACAAGACTTGAAAACATTCGCATTTATGATGATTTCTCCCTGCATCTCCATATCTCCCTGTTGCCTTACTACAACAGAAAGCCAGGAGCAGCCCCCGGGCACTATTTTTAAAAATTATTTCCCGTTTCAAAAAGGAACTAGTCTCTCTGATCTTCTGGTCACTTGCTTTCTCAGAATTAAGGAAAGTGTTTACATACATTATAGTCTTTAATAAATATGGGACTGAGAAACAGGGCTTGCTTCTCTTTTTACAAGACTTGGGCACAAGGCTATGGCTTTGATAAAGTCAACCAGGAAAAGAAATAAAAATAATTTTCGTAATGGTTAACGCAAAATAAGCTTGTTTCTTTTTTTTTAAGAAGGAAGTTTTAATGTCATCAGAAAAATATTAGTGAAATGTTTAAGTGTTTTCATGTTCAGACATGTAGTCTTAAAAACAGTGAGTTCAGAGTTTTCCTTATATTGCTGAAGTTTTTATTTTTAAGATACATTTAATAATATGTTTGCTTCAACCCTAATTAGAAAGAAGTTTCTATAATTACACAATTTCACATTCATGACTTCTTTGTAAACTGAACACTGGAATTTAAGATGTTTGCTGGCTGTGCTTGAAAGTAAAGATTTATTTTAAATGAGAAAAATGATTATACCTCAGTGAAGATTTTTGTGCACACCTGACCTTCCCACTGGTATAAAGAAATGCTTATCATTTCAAGATAGCAAAACAGAAAGCAACAAACCCAGAGGGAATATTAGGCTAAGACTGCTATTAACCCCAGCTGGCACTTAAGTCCTTCCCCTCAGCTTGGGAAAAGATACAAATTCACAATTTCCTTCAAAGCTGCTCTGCCTCTGTGGCCTCTGCTGCATGTTGAACCTTGGCAAAAGTGTTTTAGCAGCGTTTCTCATTCTGTGCAAGAAGACTGCCTGAGAGATCACACATTTTTGTACAGGACCAAGTTCATAAACGCACTGTCAGACAAGAAATCTGGAGGGACCTGTATTTTGATTGTATTTTTGACTGTACCATCCTTGCCCACAGCTGTTCTTTGGTCAAATCTCCACAGGTACTAACATGCAGTCAGTCAAAAAGATTTATACTTAGATCAACTCTCTTCCAGGATTGCTATATTTTTTTCATTTTGGGAAACCTCTTCAATCACTCAGCACAACAGTAATTGCAGCTTCTATTCCATTTGACCTTTCACTGAGCCACCAAAGAAGGGAACTAACATCCAGAAGAGCAGAAATACAGTCATCTACCAAGCTCGTAATGTGTTTGCTGGCCACCACCAAAAGAAACGAGCACGCTCTTACCAGAACGGACATCTCCACAACATCTGACGGCTGAAGGTACTCCGGGTCTACTCCGGGCCAGGACTGATGCAGCACGTCAGACTCCCAGTGATGGTGAGTACAAAGCTGATTCGGCACATGTGCCAGACCTGGAAAAGGAATCAAATGTTCGGCTGTGCAGCAACCAGATCATTCAATCTTTGGAGCTGGTTTGATAAATAAGATTAGAATAAAGTTCATTTTAAAAGTGGGTCCCTTGGGAGGAATCAGCTCTGTTTAAATCAGCATACAGAACGTGAAAAAACACGAACATACACATCTCAGAAGCGCTTGTTTCATATTGTGTTTGTTCTTCTATCCTTCACTAACATGAACAGTGTGGGCATATTTAAGATGTGGATCAGTGCCCCATTACTTCACCAAAAGCACAGAAAAACACTGCTTATTACTTTAAATTGTAATACTGCAACACAAGATGACCTCTGCTTGTAGAAGTCAGTCATAATACTGCAATGCTTTTTGTTTCTTTCCCCCCAATCAAACGAGCAGTTTGTTTAAAGTTTTACTAACAACTCAATCAAAATAATGAACAATTAATGGCTTATTATTTTACCATCTGTAACAGGCTGGGTAGTTTCTGAAATTGCAAGTCAAGCTACTTGCAAGATTTTTCTGTTATTTTTTGAAGTGTCTATTTTCTTATTAAAAAAAAGTGCACAGCTTGCTCCCTTTCTTATGATAGATACATTCTGAAACACTTTACACTCTGATTTCATTTTAAAAAAACTCCTAAGATGGCTATAAGAGATTTTCTTGTATTAAACTGGCACTGCATTCCTCGAGACAGTTAATTCCTGATTTAAGTAACAGGAGAACAGGGTGCAGCCATTCTGAGGGTGCATTCTTTAACTGAATAGAAGCTTCTGGTTTATATTGCTGTTTACTCCAGCTGTAAGATGAAAAAAAAAAGATTTCACTTAACAAGAGGCTGTCAAATACTATCGATGACAGACACCAGAGCAAGCCCAGCCTGTGCAGAATGCACACACCTAGGTGGATTGCTTAGCCCAATGCAGCGAGGAACTGCGCACCGGAACATCAACAGAATGCAATTTTCTCCAGAAAAATCTGCCTCACTTTTGTCAGTGCTTTTTCGGACAAAGAGCTTCAGCGAAATGACACATGTCCTTCGGCCAGTGAATGATTCCAACAGGGACCACGGGGTGGGCCGATGGGAGCAATTTCTAATGGCAAGCGAGAACATGCTCTTTTCCTACAAATAACAAGTAAGCCACAATTTTATTAGGTAAACAACGGATTAAAACACTTTAATGGATCTGAGGGTGTGTATTTTTTTTTTGTCTCTTGCAGCAGCAGCTCAGAAACTGAAAAAGCAAAAACAGGGAAAAAAAAGTCTTCACATTGGTGATTCATTATCATGTCGACTTTAAAGACAACAGCTGCTGGATTCTTCCCTTTTTGGCTTTTGAACATCCAGATGAGCTCATTTCTTTCCAACTGATCACATGCCTTGTGGCAGCAGCGCACATACCAGTCACTCCTTATTTTCCTGTTGAAGTGGATTCTTCAAACTACTTAAAAAATTTTCTGATATAAGTCAAGAGCTTCTACCTACAAAATCAAAATCAGGGTCACTTTTAATCCCCATGGAGGCTGTCAGTCCTAATAAACCTACTAATAAATAAAAAGTTTAAAATGTATTCTGAAGCAGATAAAGTGTGACTAAGCACAATATCAATCTTTTGATTCATTTTTTTTGCTATAAAATGAGCTATGAGCTCATCCACATGAAGAATAAAAAAAGAGAAAAGGAGTGCAAAAGTCAACAGAACTAGTTTCAGAAAACAGTTTTACAGGAAACCAAAACGAAGGTTTTAGTTACATCGCCTGTGTGGCTTCCTGCCTTAATTCATATTTTTTGTGCTGCAGACACACAGAAAACAGAACGAATTGGTTTGTACTTTCAAAATGCAACACACACAAGATCAGAAACTTCATCACCATGATTCAGAATGGATCCAGACAGTTTCTCCCTGGCCCACCTGCTTGATTTGGAGGCACTACACAAAAGCACTGGTTCAGAAATTAAGAACTGACGATTGAGAAAACATCAAAAACCTATCTTATTGTCTTATTGTACTGGAAAGTGTCTAGCAAAGTGCATTTTATGAAGCAGTATGCATCATGCTTATATATTTTTTTGTATATATTTTGTTTTTCTGGTGTCATGATTTAACCTCAGCCAGTGACTGAGCTCTCATAGCTGCTTGCTCACTCCTCCCCACCCCGAGAGAGACAGGGAGGAGAACTGGAAAAAAATTAGTAAAACTTGCAAGTTGAGATAAGAATAGCATAATAACAGTATAATAATAATAATTATAATAAATACCACCAAAAAAGGAGAAATAAAAGCCCAGAAAAGACAAGTGATGCACACTGCAGTTGCTCAACACCTGCTGACCCTGTTATTGCATCTGCTTGAATGGCCTTTTCCCAAGTAGTAAGCTAATATAAGAACAAGGTTTTCCTAACCAGTAGCTTACAGTGTTGGAGACAATGTTAAAACACCAAGTTAAACGCGTTATTATATTACTGTTAATGGGTGAGTTGAGAGAAGGAGGGGACAGGGCAAGTTGAACAACATCTCAGCTCACGGCAACATTTTATTAGCATTACATGAGTATTTCATAAGCAGAATACTTGCCCTAAGGGGCTGTTTGGCAGGGAAGAGCAGGTTCTCTTTTTGAAGAGATTTAAGATGTGGAAGTATCCATGGTAATAAAAAAAAAAGAAAAAAAAACACTAGAAAAAATTATTGGTGAAACTCCAGCAATAGCGCAGCTGCTTGGACACACAATTATGCAGGCAATTACAGAGTACACGGAGTAAGTGCCGGCACAGAACAGTTAAAGCAGAAAAGGCAGGGAGGACGGAAGTCTTCACAGGCGATAAAAGGAAGTTAATGAAAGCATCTAAGGCAATGCCACTTTCAGAGTTTAGGAGCAGGGATTTTCTAACAGAAGACAGAAGATCAGAAGGGAAGTATAATGTGACTATGAGGGTGCATTATCCAAACACTGATAACATCAGGATTTAGTTAAATCAAAACAACAGAAAATTGTGTTAAGCAAGAATCCTCCACACTAGCAGGCAAACAGATGAAGTTTTTAAAAAGCTCAGAGCAAGAGTTTATAAGGGTAAACAGAGATACATTCCCAGTAAGTATCTTACTCGCCTCTGAAGCCTCTTCCAGGGACAGGACTGTTACCATGTTACTTTGTTCTTGATAGACTTTTTTTACTGTTTAATGAATGTTCCAATTTGACAGATTCAGGCAAGTTGCATACCCGAAATACCTGTCTGCAGCCCAGGAGAAACAAGCCTGTCAGTCATATGTAAAACGGTCTGCAGTCTCAAAGAAATCATAGCAACACTTCAAGTCAGGAAAACTACATTTATTTGGTACAGTACTAGGGGATTCGTTTTATATGTTCCCTGGTGACAGACATGGAGCACCAAGGTAGGTTGTAAAAAGCCTAGGTTACTCAAAGCTAACTCTACAGTGTGTTTCCAAGTCAGCAAACTCCGCATGAATCCTTCCAGCTTTCTGAAAATGATTTGCCTTCCTCCATTTTTACAGACTTACTATCCTTCACTTTGGGTTCTTCGACTCAGAGGAAAAAAAAATATTTTTTTTTCGATTCCAAATCATGTTTCTTCTCAGATTTGTGAAGGGGGATTCCTGCAGTCAGATTTTCAATCAATACCTGCAACATCAATTAGCTTATGTTCAGCTCTCGTCTTTACAGGAGCCTTCTTGAGCAAGAACTGAATTCAGACAAAGAAATTCTTGCCAAAGAACTATTGCAGTGACAGTTAAAACGTTGCTAAGAATTATACCATTACGAATTCCAGTAATTATGCTTTATTTCAATATATTTTAAGAGGTCTTTATCATCAGCATGTATCTTTCATGTGCCATCTCTAATAAAAATGTAAAAACTCACAATAAGCAGTTTCATATCCTCATCTGGACAGTAAAATACCGTACTACTACAAACAAACTTAAAAAAAAATAAATCACATCTCAAATGGTGTCTTCATATTCCTCAGATACAAGGTTTCAGGAAGGAAACAGATTTCCTCATCCTGTTAGTGTTCATTAACTGCCAAGATCTCAGCCGGATGAACTCTTCCCATACTGAGGGGCTACCGTCGCTTTTCATGCTCCTAAGCGATAACCCAGCGTAGTTCCTGCACAATTCAGACCACGTAGTTGACACACCGAGAACTCTTCCTCCTCTAAGCAGGAGAAATTACTCCTGGGCACACAAAATATCAAAGCCCTGAGTTGCTGTTGTTCAGCTCCTGAAAGGTGAGGCACGTAGCAAACGGCATTGCTGCAGCTTTGCCATCACTCAAACTGGGAATCTTCAACCAGCTCACAAAGAGACCAAACTCCTCGTTTCTACCTGATGGTCACACAAAAACTAAGCCCCATGGGATTATAATTCTTCAGCTGCAGAAGGACACAAACTTCTGCACCTAAAACATGCACAAGCTGTAGCACTGACACATGAATTCCTCATGCAAGTCCCGTCTTGAATTTTGATTCCTTCTCTATTTCTCTGCCTAATCTCAAGAAATCCACCTCTGTGTGCAAGGGGAAGGAAACTAAAAGCACTGAGAGAGATCTGGGAACACCAAAACTTCAAGTTTGTTTAGGAATTCTGACAGAAAGCGACAAGACAGATGCAGAATTCGGGGATGTGACATATGTACTATATACTAAAAACATTTTTGAAAAACTTTTTGCCTTTTTTCATGGAACTTCAATAAAAAGCGTATTTCTATAAATACCTTTCCACATCTCCGATGCAATGTGCGGAGCCATAGGTGCAACCATAATGCAGAGTGAAGCCAAAGCATCTTCAAATTCTCTGCTGTGGAGAATAAGAGGCCGAGAAGCTTGCTAAGTGAAAAGATAGAAGGGAAAGAAATAAATTGTTAATATCCTGAGGTGGGGGAGAATGCAAAAGGTGCCAGACTGAAAAAATTGGAACCTTCATTCCTCTATTTATCAGATCTTAATAGAAAAAGATAAGCACTAAAAGCAGCCAGATGAACTTTTTCTTTCTTTGCCTGTTTGAGAGATTACATCCCATGGTAAACCCGGATTCTGCATTCGTTTTGTAATTCTATCCCCTAACGAAACAGCACAGAATGATGTCAATATACATCAGCTTCTCAAAGTATCTGGTAGGTGTGATGAAAATCTGTTCCCCTCTACTAGAAAATCATCCAAAACCAGTGATTTCACACAGACCACAAATGTTGTCAGATGGCATCTTCTTATCCCTGATGCTAACGAGGTTGTGCAAACTAGCTTTGAGTAAGTTCTGGTAATTACTACCTGTTTTTTTTCCACCTTCACCCATCTGCCCACTTCCTCCTTTCAAATGAGAGTGAAAGAGGAAGTGTCAGCATGCTGTATGGAAACTTGTTCTTGAAAGATACTGCAGTGACTTCTGTGGTCAAGAAATACGTCAGTGTTCAAACATCTGGCAGACTGTAGGGCATGGACTGCTATTTAATTTTTAACATTCACTCACCACCACCCATGAGCCCAAAATACATATGAATCACTGAGCTGGAGATAAAGAACTGTAGGTCACCTTCCCAACTCCACCCAGTGCCCAGACTTAATTTATCTCAGTACAGCTTGCTGAACTTTTTGTTAAGTTCCCTGACTTTGCAAAACATCTCCTTGGAATCAATAAGTACAAAACAGTATTTCAATAAAGAATTTGAAAAAGAATCGAATTTTTATTTGATTTCTGGTCTAGATCAGGTTACCATTATATGCCTGAGGGATCGCTCAACAAGATCAATGAGCAGTAACAAAAATAACGATAGTAGTTTATCATATCTGATCTATCATCACTGGCTGATAAATAACATAATCTAAAGAAAATGCTAAAGACTTGAGTTAATTTTACATTTATTTTAAAAAGGGTAATTTGCAAACTCTATTACTAGATTACTTCCACACTAGTTCAGCAGTGAAATGTGTCTCTGAGGAATGTAAGACTATGTGTTATTTTCCTTGCAGAGAACAACCCTTTTCTTCAAACCAGAACGTTTGGTAATTCTATAAGGAACTAGATATAAGCAGTACATTATGTAACTTGGTTAAAAAAAAAACAAAACAAAAAAAACAAAAACCAGAAGGAAGGACAGAGCTAAACAAAATGCATCCTTTGAAACGACAGGATGCAGACAAGAACCTCAGAACCCAGTGGCTCTAATACCACCAAGCTTTTCCTGCAAGCCCGTGTATTTCAGGGTTACAGCTGCTTTTGAACAGAGCAATTCAACACGGCTCTTCGCTTGGTAGCAAAGTTTATGAGAGAAAACACCTTACGGCAAGTTGGATCTATAATTCAGGCAGCTCCTGCTTTGTATAAAGGCACCAACAGGATGGGACAGAATAACAGCGGCATTAATGTCACATACTTACGTGGAGCACGTTAGTGAGGCTCATCAGCCGGGAAATAGCTGCATTGAACAAGTGATCCTTTGTGAAGTACTCTGTTACCTGGTATTAGAAGAAAAGGTCAGTCACTCATTCCTTAAAATGCTCAAACATGGAACACTGGGTTTTTAAATGAAAAAGAATTATTGATAATCAATTTCAATTTGTGAAATACCTCTTACATGAAAATCACTTTGGCAAACAGACACGTCCTAAGCACAATCACATGCGTGTACAGGAAAACAATAACTATATAAAAATTCACTTGACTAGCTTCCCCTCTGTTTTAGGATTTTAAAAGCTTCCATCAATATCAGTGAAAACTGTATTAGTAACCACCCTCTATTTCCTTTATTTCCTTTGCCCATGTAAGAAGCTTCCACACTTGGAAATCCAGTTATGTTGGTGAAAGCCTGTTTACAGATTGCAATATTATAACTCCAAAGTCTGTTAAAAGATCTGGAGGTCCCTCACCACAGGGTTTAAATCAGGAAAAATTTTTATCTATAGAAAAATATTTTAAGTTATTTTTGCACATATTTATGTCTCCTTCTGAGTCTTGGATAATTGAACTGACACTAATCACAGCGGGAGAGAACATAAAAGTAGAGATGAACAATCATTTCAGTAAATGGTTTTTTTAGGATACGCTAATATATTTTCACCAAAAACTTTTTTTCATTCTATATGAGACAGCAGGCATGGTAATGCCGGATCAAAAGCTTTTGTTAAGAATAACCTGAATAATTTTAGCTTTGCTACTGGAAAAATACTGCCACTTATAGCTTTGCTACTGGAAATAGAGTTACTTGAAACCTAGACTGATAACAGTTTAATACCACAACATCTCATTCTTTAAATGTGGCATACGGCAGATTTGTCAATCCAAATCTTAATATTTTGCAAAAGCGGTTCTATCCCATACAATGTGAAGGTAAATAAAATTATATAGAGAATAATTCACTCAAAAATTATGAGCTACTCATCTGTGGAAAAAGCTTTTGGCTCTGGTTTTAGCACAGGCAGCAACATATTCAGTCATTTACAAACCGTGTTTCTCCTAACCTCAGAAATCACCAGATTCTTCTGCTCCCAGATCTTCCTGGCTTCAGCCTTCTCTTTCTTATTCAGAAGCTCAGGATTAGGCAGGGTTCCTGAAGTCCTTGCTTCAATAAGTTTGGTTACAAGTGTCCAGAGGCGCGTCTGCCATCTCTGAACGCCTGGCATAGCGTCAGCTGAGATTAATGAAAGATTGAAGAAAAAAACTCCAGTTACAAAGAATGAATCAAAGCAAAGCAAAAGGAAACTAAACACTATAGCTAAACATTTTTTACAAAACCTCTGTATTTTAAATGAAAAATGTGAATGCAATTAAAAACACCTTAGATAAAAGTATTTTGTGGCTGCCTGATGAAGGTGTTTCTGTGATCTGGCGAACATGCTCCAGAGAAGCCCCAAGCTACTGCTGCTCACAGCCCGGTCCTCCACAGGCTGTGGTGCAGAGCCTCTGGTGAAGATACGGCTTGACGTGTTGCACTGATACGGCTTTAGCTCTCTCTTTAACTTCTCGCTCAACTGAGAACCAGTATTTCATATTCTCTATGACAATTTTCTATATTGGCTTTGTCTGGCAAGGTTTTGGTAGTGGGGGGAGTTACAGGAGTAGCTTCTGTGAGAAGATGCCAGAAGCTTCCCCTATGTCCATCAGAGCAGATACCAGCTGGATGCAAGACAGACCCACAGCTGACCATGGCACAACCTTAAAATAATAATTTTCAGTCAGTCACAGCTAATTAAAAAAAAGAAGAAATGGAGGTCCAAATATGCTGAAGAAAATATCATTTAGAAGTACTTTTCATACATGCTTTTAGCTCATAAGAAGTGAGCTGCTCATAACAATCTTGCAAGCCTGCCTCCCGGTGACAGCTCTGTGACTCACTCTCTTTTAAAAGAAAAACAATAAATCCTGCTCATTATGCGGCTTTGATTCAATTGTTCCAAATCTTCGGCATCAAGAATCGTATTTATTTTGTCTTTAACATACAACACACCAGGAAAAAACCAACACTGAACAACAGAAAAAACCTGACTTACTTTTAGCATCCCACAAAATATCTTGTTCTGGAGGAGCAGCAAACAGAAGGTAGAGACGCAGAGTGTCAATGCCATACTCTCTCACTAATTCTTTAGGGTCTATTCCATTGTGCTTAGATTTGCTCATTTTTTCCCAAGTAACTTGGAGCTTCTCACCAGTTTTTAGGTGAACTGGTTCAGTTCCTAAATGTTAAGACATAGACAAAACATTAAACCAAATTTTGCTCATTTGTAGCAGCAATTAATTTTGTTCCCTAAGCATAAGAAAAAACAACTATTTCTAGCGGAGGCTTTTTGGTTTCCTAACAGAACAGTGAAAACAAGGGGGGTGCACAAGAGGAGTGCTTAAACGACGCAAACACAGTCAAACCACTCTTATCGCTACAGGGCCCCAGACCAGGACTTGCTGCTCCAGTTTATGCAATGAAGGCACTGGAAAAAAACTTGAGAAATGGCATTTTTTTCCTACGCACATTCCTAGTACCTACTGAACACATCAATATAGGTGCTAGCCTTGCCATCGTGTAGGTTGTCTGTTTGCTAGAACTGCTAGCTCCATTCAACAAGCTGCCGAGCACCATCTTAACAAAATAGGCTTCTGATCTTTTGGACTATACTGGGGCTAAAATAATACCACACAACTGTTCCTGTGCTGGGATGCAATCACAAGCTGCTGGATCAGCAGGGTCTCTGTGCACTCAGCAGTGCGTACAAATCCAAAACTCAGACTATTTGCTCTCCAGTTTCAATACTAATTTACAAGGATTCATCTTCTCTCCCAAATTTTCTGAGACTCGGGCACCAAAGCAGTCCGTGGCTTTCTGGATTCACCTATTTTCACGGATTTTCCCATGCCGTCTCTCTTACCAGTGAGATCAACCTCCTCTCTCTTCAAACACTGGCCTGTTGTCGGTAGTCTGAACGTCCGATTCTTGATAAGACCCTGAACCAAGAGCTTATGGAAAGGCTCCCTAAGGGTGCAAAGGAAAAAAGAAGCTTGTCTGTTGAAAAGAGTTGTCAAAAGCACACTTTACGACAAACCTCAGGTGTTGAGCCAATCAGGCACAATTATTGAATGAAACAATTTCAACTTGACTATACGTAGATGGTTGTCACCTTAGGAAGAGTACTTTGTGCATTTAGTCACCGGTGGCTGGCAAGTGTAAGTAGCTATTTGTATTCTGCACACATTCTTACATCCTGATTTAGTACTGAGTTACTCCCACTCTTCAAATTAGCATACAGACAATACACAAAAGTTTCTTGGCCAAGAGTTAAAGAGATATTTGAAAGAAAAGTCTTAAAATGAGGGAAGAAAAGTCTTAAACAGGGAAAGGACAGACTTCATATCTGATCTTAACCACACTCATTTCTGAACCTGAGTTTCCTTCCTCACATACTTTGTATACTTCAAAGCCTTGTGCAAGTGCTGGCAGGTAGTGGCACCAAGCAGTACCAGCCTCAGCCACACCACCTGGTTTTATAGACACTGCTAAATAAAAGTAGCAATTCAAGCATCTCTACAAATATTTTCTGTACAATGTTTTACAGCTTGCCTGAAAAATACTGTTTAGAAATAAAGGAATTTAAGATGGTGACAACTGAAGTCAGAGTTAGATAGTACAAACAAGAAAAAGTATTTTAAAGATAGGAGGCAATAATTATCTAACATCTCAAATAATTATCACAAATTGTCCAAATGTATTAGAAGACAAAAATCAGGAACAAAAACTCATGTAATCCTATAATCAACAAATGATGGAAAAATGCTTCAGGAGATAACTGAGCTTCTTCTACATACTAAAGACAATACATAATGAAAAATAATAAAAAAACCCCCCATGTTCCCTTATCATTAGGTACTTCAGTCAGCTTAAGATCTCTAACAGTCACTAAATTAGCTATATTTGCTCCTATCTAAAAATCAAGCTAATGCTGTGGCAGGAACATCCACAGCAGCATCCACAGGGCTCTCCACTGGAAGTGATTTTTCAAGGAACACTTATTTTTAATGACAAAGAGTTAGTTTAGATCATACGCCAAGTTATTACCAGCAGAACACAGAATGAGTGTTTCCTAATTTTGTTTATGCTGACGTAGGCTACAAAAAATGCAACACAAAATACATTACCAAGTATGGAAAAAAAAAACCCAAACAAAAAAAATACAACCACGTGTTCCTGGTGGGAGACTGGATGAGGAGGAGGATGCCCAGAATGAGCCAGTCACAGCCCAAGCCCTGCACTGGATTTCTCCTCAAGTGCTCAGTGATTTTTTCAGCGTTGTGCTGGCTCCATCTCATGGTCTCATGTGGAGTTACTCTTCAACTTACAGCAATGAACCCGCACACCTAAAACGTTCCCTTTCACAGGCGGCAATGGGTTTTCCCGTCTGCACAAGAGAACTGCCGAGAGGTGGTGGCACATAAGGCGTGACGCAGTTCTGATGTTAAATCCTGCCAGCACCCAGCCGTGGGTGTCAGAAATACCTCCTGAGTCACACCGCCAACAATTGAAATTAATCCATATTCAGACAGACAGATGGACATTTCCTGCACCGTAAACCAAGACTCTGAACTACTAGAGAAAGATTGAACATGCACAAGAGGGCAGTGTTTTTTAACGTTTTAATCTTCTCCCTCCGAGCTGTGGGCTTTGACACCATGACATTAAGTTTTTAATCACCCTTTTCAGATCTCTCATACCAGCCCTTGAGCAGTTCTAACAGGAGACTGAGCAAAAGCAGCTTCTGACCAATCACAGAATCACAGAATTGTTGAGGCTGGAAAAGACCTCTGAGCATCAGGCCCAGCCTATGACCCAACACAATCACATCTGCTAGACCAGGGCACTAAGT